TGCACTAGAGCCGGGAAGTCACAGCCACTGAAGCCCCAGCGCCCCGGAGCCCGCGCTCTGCAGCAAGAGAAGCCTGCACGCCGCAACTAGAGAGGCGCCCCTGCTCGCCACAGCTAGAGAAAAGCCCAGGCAGCAACAACACGCAGCACAGCCAAAAACAAAACAAATAAACTAAAAATATCAGAGAGAGAAAGAAAGATAACAACACGTTTACAACTGCGTCAAAAAGAATAAAATACCTAGGAATACATTTAGGCAAGGAGGTGAAAGACACGTACTGAAAACTACAAGATGCTGAAGACGCAGGTGATGGGACTGCACGCCATGCTCACGCACTGGAAGAATTAACACTGTTAAAGCGTCCGCACCCCCAAAGCCGTCCTCAGTGTCAGAGCAGGCAACACAGAAATCCCTCTCAAGACCCCAGCAGCACCACAGAACAAACCATCCGAATGTTTCTGTGAACCTCGAAGTCCAAACAGCCAGAGAAAACTTGAGAAAGAGGAACAACGCTGGAGGCATCATAGTTCCTGATTTCAAACTACGTTACAAAGCTATAGGAATCAAGAGAGTACATAAAAAAGTATAGTATTAGCATGAAAACAGACATACACATCAATGGAATAGAACAGAGAGCTTAGAAATAAGCCCGCACCTATGTGGTCAATTAATCTACAATGAAGGAACCAAGATTATACAATGGAAATAGGATGGTGTTTTCAATAAACAGGAAAACTGGACATCCATGTGCAAAACCAGGACCACTATCTTACAAAAAGTCAACTCAGAATGGACTGAAGATTTGAGTGCAAGGCCCGGAGCCACAGAACTAGAGGAACGCAGGCAGCAAGCTCCCTGACGTCAGTCCTGGAGATGAGTCTGGGGGCCTGACACCAAAAGCAAAGGCAGCAGAAGCAGAAATAAACCAGTGGGACTGAAGACTGCACAGGAAGACCGTCAACAAAACAAACAGGCAACCCACGGGAGAAAATATCTGTAAATCACGTGCCTAACAGTGGGTCTAAATACATCCAAAATACACAAAGAACTCATGTGATAGCAAACCAACAACAAAAGACTCAACACTTCAATTAAAAACTGGGCACAGCCTCTGAGGAGACATTGTTCCAAAGAAGATATGCAGATGGCGTGGTGTGTGGAGAGATGCTCATGCCACTAACCACCAGAGAAATGCAGATCAAATCCACAGTGAGGCATCAGCTCACCCATGAGCAGAGCCAGCAAGAAAAAGACAGGAAATAACAAGCCAAGGGTGGCAGTGGACACAAGGATACATTTGGGTGACACTGCAGATAGAAAACAGAATGCAGGTTCCTCAAAAAATTAAAAATAGGACTTCCATACAATCTAGTAATTTCACTTCTAGATATTTCATTGAGGGAAACGAAAATGAGTTCATAAAGATATCTGTATCCCCATGTTTACTACAGCACCATCCACCACAACTGAGATATGGACGACTGGATAAAGGTGCGACACATATGGGTACCATTCAGCCATCAAAAAGGAGATCTTGCCATTTCTGACCACGCGGATGGGTCCTGAGGGCATCACACTGAGTGAGATAAACCAGACAGAGAAAGACAGATGCTGTATTAACTAGCATGTGCAATCCAAAAACAAAACCCCAAACCCCACACTCACAGAGAGAGAATAAGTTCTCAGAGGTGGGGCTGAGTGAAGAGGGTCAAAAAGTACAAACTTCCAGTTACAGAATCAACGAGGCCTGCGGACAAACACAGCATGGTGGCTGCAGCCGCCAGCACTGCAGTAGGCAGACACCAGGAAGTTGCTGAGAGAGCAGATCTTAAGAGTTCTCGTCACAAGGAAGAAACCCTGCTTGGGGGATGCTAACTAGACTTCTTGTGGTGACTGTTTCTCAGTATGCACAAGCATTGCATCACTGTGTTTACACCTGACACTAATACGATGTTGCAGCCAACGACATCTCAACTCTTTAAAGGCGGGAAACCGTGCCACCTGACGCAGCAGGACAAACGCTGTGGACGTTACGTTCAGCGACACAAGTCAGACACAGAAGGACAGGTCCTGTGTGAGTCTAATTGTCTGGCTCAAATCCACAGCGACGGCAAGGGGAAGGGTGCGGGCTGGGGAGAGGAGGGCGTCGGTGTTTAACTGGACACATCTCTGTTTTGCAAGATGGAAAGAGCTCACGAGATGGACTGAGAGACGGACTGTCGTGACGGCTGCATGACAACGTGGACGTTCTTAACGGCGCCAGGCGGCACACTGCACAACAGTGAGAAGCGTGACTTACGTGGATTTCACCACAATGGAAAAAAAGTGACCTAAAACCCAAGCAGGCTGCGGCTCCAGGGAGCGGGGACCATCTGCCCAGCCCACTTCTCGGCAGCCCCCTGCTGGCCACACTCTCAGGGGACCCTCTCCCAAACTAAGCCATGTTGCAGAGCCCCTCCCAGCCCGGGTGCTCCTGCCCAACTTTACAGCAACGTCTGAAAAGTCACCTCTGCCTTGAAGCCTCCCGGGGCGGAGTGCGGACCTCCTGTTCTGAGGTCTGGCAGGCTCCAGCCCCGGCTGAGCAGTGAGGACTGGCCCCCAGCCCCAGGCTCCCAGCAGGGTCTCCACACCACCGTCCCACCACCGTGACTCCCAGAAAGCGCTCCTTGACAAGCCCAGACCTCGCCAGTCAGAACTGTTTTTACCTGGTGGTGCAGGTGACAGGCATCAAAGCCCCATGGGAGGACCACCCACACCTCACCCAGGGAACGCGTGGAGGCCTCGCCCGTCCTGCCTATCGGAGGCCAAACAGTCACCTGGCAGGTGACCAACGAGGCGGGTGACCCGGAGGAAAGAACTGCAGCCCCCCACCTCTGGGATGGAGACCCTCCCATCCAGGCCTGCACCGAGGCGCGCCTCCGGGAGCCTCAGACCAGGCCCTGTGCTCAAGGGCAGCAGCACCCACTCTGGGGCAGACAACCAGAGGGTCTGGGGGCTGCAACCACCCCCAGACAGCCTCCCTGCCGGCAGCCCTCGCACGGCGGCCTGCCCAGATCTACCCCCACAGCCCCGCGCCTGGCAGTTGGGGGCCCGGGGCCCACCCAAGTCCTGCCGTGCAGAGCCAGGGCCCTGGGGACCCCCAGCCCCGAGGCGCCACTCTGGGTGGGCTGCAGCGGAGCACCAGCTGCTGTGGGAGGGCGTCGTCCCCCTCCAGCCCCCACCAAAGCCAGGAAGGGCTCCAGCTGGCCAGCCGGCCGCGGCGGGGACAGGAGGCCACAGCAGCACCCCAGGACGGCCCCCACCACGGACAGAGCCGCGGGGCTGCAGCAGAGACACGGCAGGCGCGAGATGGGTCAGGGGGCCGGGCACCTGGACAGCAGTCACCCCTGAGGCCTCACGCCCACTGAGTCAGCTCCAGGTCTTCAGGCCTCTGTGTCCCCAGCTGTAAAATGGGGGCCCACGTCCTGGCTGCTCCTCGGGCTGCCAGACAGACGAGGCGAGCATCTGAGGTCGTGGACAGAGTCTGAAGAGCAGAGGTGTGGCCCAGTGCCAGACGGCAGCCCTCCTGAGCACCTGTGCCCGCAGGGTGGGGGTGGAGTGCCCCTGGTGGAGTGGGTGGGCAGGTGCAGCGGCTGCAGGATCACCAAGCCAAGGAGGCCCCTCTCCCTCCTGCCAGGGAGGCTCGGGGTCCCAAGAAACTCCTCTGGGCAGGGTGGCCTGATGGCCCGGCTCCTCAGACCAGGCCTGGCAGGAGACGGTGCGGACTGCCTTCCTCCCCAGACCACTCCCTGGCACGGCTCACCATCCTGACAAGTGGAAACACAGGCCCGGGAGAGAGAAGTAGGGGTGGCCAGGCGGGCAGCAGCAGGCGGTGGCAATGCAGCCTCAGGGCACAGCCGCAGGCCCTGGGCAGCTGGGAGGGAGGCCGTGGGGAAGGCCCTCAGCCCGCCCGCCTCCAGGGGAGCCTGCCGCTGCTTCGCCTCGGGGCTGCTCCGCTCCAGATTCCCTGCACAGGAGGTGGCGTGAGGAAAGAGACCCATCCCAGCCCAGTGGGCAAGCAGCGGCCAAGAGCCGGGCAGTGAATGTCCACAGTCCGTGTCCCCACCTTCCCTCTCTGGGGGCTCAGCCACTCCATGCTGTTCGGCTTGCTCTGAGGGGCTCAGGCTAGGCGCCCCCGGGGCGTGTCCAGCGTGTCCCTGCAGGCCAGGGGGCCGCCCTCGCTGCTGGGGGCTGTTCCAGCCCCACCCCCACTGCAGCCAAGACCTGCCAGGGGCGCCAGCTCACTAGCAGGGTCCCCGGGGCCTGAGAGCAGAGCCTTTTCTCTTCCTGCCAATCCCTGAACAGTGGCCCCAGGGCCTTGGAAATCACCCCAGAGCACCACCCAGGAGCCAAGTCCAGGAGATGCCCGCCGGGAGACTGCGCCTGCCCAGGGCCGCACCTGAACTGGCCACCTGCTCAGGGCAGCGAGGCTGGGGGCGGGGGGCCCGCGACCCCTTTCCCAGCGGGTCCACGTGGCCAGGGCAGGTGCTTCCTCCCCCGCTCCCAGCGCAGGGCCGGAGGGCGGCTGCAGGCAGGGGCCATGACGTCACCGCAGGTGGGGGCGCCGGCGGACCCTCCATCCCCGCGGAGGAGCCGCGGCCCCGCTCACCCATCCCCTCCCTGCCGCCGGCCTCCCGCCGCGATTTCCTTTTTCTTTGCGGAGCCCCAGGTTTCGCAAGGCGGCGGCTGCCGGCGGCTGACAAGACACGCAGCCTGGGGGAGGGGAGGCGGCGACAGAGCCGCGGGCCGGGGGCCGGGGGCCAGCGGGGATCGGGCCCGCGCCCCACCGGAGCGGGGGCCAGGCTCCACGGCCTGCGCCCTCCAGCCCTGCGGGCGCCGCAGCACCCCTCCCCGGCCCAAGGCTGGCACCCAGGCCAGCACCCGGCCCGGGCCGCAGCCGCCCGGGCCCGCACCCACGCGGGCCCACAGCATCCCGACGCGCCCGGCCGGCCCGCACCTACCCGGGGCGCCGCAGTCGGCGCAGCGCGCGTTCCCCGGCCGCTGCAGCAGCTCGAGCACGGCCTTCCGCCGCTCCTTGGCCATGGCCGCGACGCCGCGTGGGGAGCGCCCGCCCCGCCGCACTAGGGCCCCACGCAGGCCGCCCGCCGCCGCCGCCCCTGCGCCATCCTGGGCGGCTCAGCCCGCGCGCCGGTTCCGCATTCCTGCCGCCCGCCCGGCCCCGCCGCCGCTCTCCTCGCCGCCGCGGCCGCCGAGCGTGTGCCGGCGCGGGGCCCGGGGCGCACGGCGCGCTCTGGCCGGCGCGGCCCGCGGGCGGCCCCCAGCGGCGCGGGCGGAAGGGCGGGCGAACAGCCTCCTCCCGCGCCGGCCCGACGCCCCAGCCCGCGCTCCCGGGACCCGCCCAGGGACCCGCAGGGGCGGTCTCCGGGCCGCCGCCCACCCTATCCCCCTGCAGCGGGCCCACCTGGCCAGGCAAGGCACCAGCAGCCACGGTCGGGGGTACTGAGGGTGGGACTGTCCCCAGTCATTCGCCCTGACAGCACCTGACAGCTACTGTGCCCCCAGGGGCAGTGCACCAGGCCCAGCGGGCAAGCAGGAAATGCATGAAGAAGGGGTGCACGCGCGACCCTGAGGACCACCTCCCTGTCCTCGGAGGAGAGGCTGGCAGGTGACAAGCCCCAGGGGGCTTGCCTGGCAGGGGGCGCTCAGGCCACAGAAGGGCCCTGCTCTGCACCCAGCCGGGAAGGGCGGGTGTGCAGGTAGAAGGGTGCTCTGGATACAGCCTTCTGAGTCAGGAGGCCAGCACACAGCATGGGGGAGAGGAGGGGACGGGTCTCTGTTCAGGTTCTTTCCCTTTTCTTCTTAAATTATGAATGCAGTGATGCAGCTGGTTAGAAACAGCAGACAGCCTCCCCCCCCACCCCGCCCCACCCCACCCCGTGACTGAGCCAACCACTGTCAGCGACTGCTAGCATTCTTCCAGAACCGTCCTCGGCTGGGCAGTCCGCGGTGGGTGGTGCACTGCGGGCGTGTGCCACCTTCCAGGGTCTCAGCTGGATGCTGTGCCGGAGTCCTGGGGGGCCCACAACCAGGAGAGCACCTCCAGGACAGGGGGAAGGGCCTGCCACCTCGCCCTACACAGAGGCTGTGTGGGCACTGTCCACCGAGGCCTACTCTGGCCAACACTGGGGCGCGGTGCTTCTAGAGCCCTGAGGGTCTCTCGGGCAGGACACGGGAGCCCACTTGGGCTTGAGTTTCTAAACCACAGGTCCTGCGTCATCGTGTGCTTGAGCTGGCCTCCTCTCTCCCTCATCAGATGGCGCCCTTCCAGGAGGGATGGGTGGTGTCCTCATCTCGGGGTCCCCATGCCAGGGTCAGAATGTGCCACAGAGCAGAGTGGGGAACAGCGTGTCACGAAGACACACTGGCATCAGTCACAACAGCAACTGCTTCACTGACCGGTGGCTCAGATGGTAAAGCATCTGCCTGCGATGCAGGAGACCCAGGTTCAGTCCCCGGGTTGGGAAGATCCCCTGGAGAAGGGAACGGCAACCCATTCCAGTATTCTTGCCCGGAGAATCCCTTGACAGAGGAGCCTGGCCGGCTACAGTCTGTGTGGTCACAGAGTCGCTCATGACTGAGCGACTTTCACTACATCAGGCATTAGGTCTAACCCCATCCCATTTAATCCCCATCTTACAGATGCTGAAAAACAGAGGCATAGAGGTGTTCAGTCACACCCAAGGCCACAAGTGGCTTCTAGGTGGAAGGACTGGGATGAACACACAGCTGGGGAACAAAGAGCCGAGCCCCCCGCTCCCCCAGCCCCCAGCAGCAGGGATGCTGGTGGCCGAGGAGGGACCGGTGGGGGCAGGGAAGCCAGAGGGGCTCGGAGCACGAGCAGCAGAGGCGCAGGCGGTTGAGCACACAGCCGCGCCCTGTCTGGCATCGGGTCCTTCTGCTTCTGTGTCTTCCCATGTGACTCTGGGGGTGATGACACGGTCCAGGGGGGTGGATTCAAGGACAGAGGTCAGGATGTGAGAGCCTTAAAGAGACAGGCAGGACGGAGCTCTGGAGCCCCCGACCCGGGCACCCCGGCCAAAGGGAAGCACAGGGTGCAGTGGGCTGGCGTGGGGCTCCCAGGACGCAGGGCACACGCAGCCTCGGGCGGGCCACGCCCGACAGGCCCTTGCCCAGGCTGTGGGGGCTGTCGGAGGGGCTGAAGGCCAGCACACAGTGTCCTGGCAGGGCCCTGGGGGGCCCCTATGCTGAGGGTATGGGAGCGAGGGGAGTGACCACTCTGTCTGCTTTGTGGGAGGGGGCACGTGAGGGTGACAGGAGCCAGCTGTGCCCGCCGAGGTCTGGGGACATGCGGACAGGCAAACACCCAGGACTCAGAGCCTCGTGGCCTGAGGAAGGCTGTGAGGATGGGGGAGGGCGCAGAACCTGGGAGACCGGGGAGGGGTCCTCCTGAGGGCTGGAGACAGAGTCCAGGGCAGCTGACAGCAATGGAGGCCGCGGTGGGCCCCCCAGCAGGGCCGGGCAGAGGGGGGCCGGGCAGGAGGTGGGGGAGTCACGAGGATGGGGTGGAGGGCAAGGGAGGGGAGGGCCCGAGAGGCAGGATCCCAGCCCCAGGGGCTGCAGGGCGACGGGGTGCCAGCGCAGAGGACACACGCTGGCAGGAGCCCCACACGGTGCCAGCGCAGAGGACACACGCTGGCAGGAGCCCCAGGTGGTGCCGGCACAGACGACACACACTGGCAGGAGCCCCACGCGGTGCCGGCGCAGAGGACACACGCTGGCAGGAGCCCCACGTGGTGCCGGCCGCCAGCCCCTGGCAGCGGTGCCCAGACTCCTGAGGGGCCTGCAGGGCAGAGGGGTTGGCACTGCGGCCTGGGCGGGGTGGGGAGCCCAGAGGGGCCTGCAGGGCGGCTGGGCCCTCGACAGGTCCCTCGGCGTGCCTGTTCTGTGCAGAGCCCTGAGCAGTGGGGACCCGTCTACCAAGGGGAGAAAATGGGGAGCCCCAGGCCATGTCCACCGCCCCCACCAGCCCCCCTGCCTGAGACCTGGGTTTCGGGTGCGTGGGGGAGGGAGAGCGGGCACTGCCCTCCAGCCTTTCCTGGCCACATCGTGGCTCGGGGCTGAGCAACCGCAAGGTTCCGGGGTGGTGTTGGGCAAGATGGGAGCATGGCAGGCACCCGGCCAGCAGCCGGCTGGGCCCGAACCCTCCTGGGCCTGGGGGGGCCATGGGCGTTCCTCCCCGGCACCCTCCGTTCCCCCCACCCCCACCGGGCCTGCTCTGAGCTGCACCTGGGCTGGGAACCCAGGTCTTCCCAGGAGTGGATGAGCCGGGGGGTCAGGGTCAGTCCTCCGTTGGGGACTGGGTGACAGCTGAGGGCAAGGTCCCCATGGGGACTCCGGGGGCTGAGGAGGCAAGCACCTCCCAGAATGTGGGAGACGCAGAGACACGGCTGACACGCCTGGCCACGAGCGGCGGCTTCCGGTGTGGCTGGCACAGTTCCTGTTTTAAAGCCCTCACCCTCGTAATTCCTGAGCCTCAGCCTCCAACCCGACGAAGGAAAACAGAGACACCCCAAAGAGAGGCGACCCTCGGTGTGCGGGGTGTGCACCCCTCCCTGCCCCACAGCCAGGGCAGCAGGGACGGTCCTGGCACCAGGACCGTGTCTCCATCTACGAGCGGAGCTGGCTCTAGAGACCCAGGAGGGTCTCAGGGGGGTCCCCAGAGGGGATGGGTGGGGTGGGGTCTCCGTGGGGGCAGAGCTCCAGGGCTGGTTAAGTGGGTGTGGGGACATTTAAACAGAGTTTCTGTCTGGTATCCCGAAGAGAACCGGCATGCGGCAGGGGGACGTGTCTGCAGGCCCCTGGGGCTCATGGAGGGCCTGGGCTCCCGGGGGCCTCCCTGGGGCGGGTATGGGAGCCGGGGGAGCCCAGGTGCAGTCTGGGGAGTGGGCTGCGGCCGCAGTGATGCTCAGCCTCCTGGGCCCCAGCTCTTTGAGCACTGACATCCAGCCGGGGACTTAAAGTTCACAAATGAGTGCGACTCAAAACTCACAAAGAACTCTGACAAGCCAGTGGGAAGAGAACCCGAGCAGCACTTTCTCCCAGGAAGACACACGGACGTGCAGGTGCCCAGCATCACGGCTGTCGGCAGACGGGGACAGCTGCACCCGCGCAGACCCATAAACGGGGCATCACCCACTCCACCAAGTACGCACCCGAGAGACGGAAAGCACGCACACACTCAGAAACGTGTACATGAATGTTCACAGCAGCGCTCCTCACAGGAGCCAAAGTGGGGCGAGCCCTGTCCGGCGGCGGAGGCGTGGATACAGCGGGGCAGGACTCGGCCGCGAAAAAGAGAGCAGGGTTACAACGCTACAGCCTGGACGAACCGAAACGGTCAGTGAGAACAGCCGGTCGTGAACGCCCACGGCATGCCGGGGTGCTCCCGAGGCCTCGGACCTGTCGGTTCCAGCCCGTGCTGAGCCACCAGGCCCGAGGAATGGACGGGTCAGCGGTCCTCAGGGCAGGGAGCCGAGGCTGCGAGGTCCTGCAGGGCGAGGCGGCGGGAGTCCACAGCCCGTGTGGAAGCACCCCACAGCTCACCAGGCGCTGCACGCTGCGCATATGGCAAGGCCAGGTCCTGGGGTGACACGCGGGGACAGGACAGGTCAGGCCGCGGACAGGGGGGTGAGCGGGGTGTGAGGGGTCCTCGCCTTCCCAGGCAGGGTCTGTGTGTCCGCGCCCCACCCTGTCCACCCGTCAGCCTCCCACAGGCCCTCCCCCAGGAGCTACCTGCCCCGCCCCAAGGGATGGGGCCTACCGGCTGCCCCGCCCACCGAGAGGTGGGGCCTACGGATGCCCCGCCCCGATGGGTGTGGGCCGGGGAGCCATGAGCCTCCAACCCAGGAGGACCCAGTACCCCCGCCTCCAAGACTTGGAGAGGACTCAGCTCCTGCTGGCGCGCCGTCTCCCAGCGTCTCTCCTGAGCCGCCACCAGCCAAGGCCCCGTGGGGGTCCCCCACCTCCAGCCCGCCCCCCAACCGGCTCATGTGCCAGGCACACGGGTACCGTTGTCATAGGGGCTTCAGCCGCCATCGACCACAGCCCATCCGGGGCCGTGAGGATGGCAACCATCAGGCGCTGGGGTCAGAAGCCAAGTCTGGGGCAGCTGCCACCAGCGCAGGCACAGGGCTCTCCTCTCCAGAACCCTGCCCCCATCATCACGCCCAGGACTCTCTTCACAGAGCGGGGAGAAACCCGACGCTTGCCCTCCCCCCCGCCCCCGCCCCGGGGCCTTTGCCCCAGGGTGGTCTCCTCTGCAGCGGCTCTACTGCGCCCTGGGCACATAGCCCTCAGGTGTGGACGGCGAGCCCCTGCAGTCCCTCACGGGTCCCTGAGCCCGGGGTGACCAGGGGCGCAGGCGCTGGGGGCTGGCCCTCAGCTGGGGCCCCCACTGCACTTGGGGCTCCCGCCTCCAGCCTGGCCCCCATGTCAGGAGTAACCAGGGCCTCAGAGACACACAGGCTGGCCCGATGTGTTGCTCCCGGAGTGTGGAGGCCACTGCACGTTCGCTGCGCCCTTGGGGGCCCCAGGGGACGGCCCTCCCACAGGTGACCCCAGGCACTGCGGCGCCACCACCGGCCAGCAGGGGCCGCCATGCCACCACAGTCTGTGCCCGGCTGCGGCCTTGGAGAGGGAGAAGGGCCCTTCCCATACCCGGCTTCTGTTACCGGGCGGCTGGCGCCCTGCACACGCCAACCCTAACCCCCTGCGACGTGATAACCCCGAGCTTGGTAACACGGCCTGGCACCTTCAGAAGGCTGTTCCCCTAGCTGATGTTTCTATTGCTTCTATAAAAATGATAGATGCTTGTTATAAACAGTCACAAAGAAAAACAGCTGGCCAGCAGTGCACGGTGCAGAGATGGCCCTGTTTGCCGAGGGCCGCCCGGGTCCTACTCCACACGCTCCCGGAAGCCCTCCCGGACCCCAGGGCTGGGGGGCTGTCCTGCTCTGGGCTCCCGCTGCCCCCACGTGCTTCCCAAGGACAGAGAGCAGCCACCTAAGACCCACTCCTCCTGAAGGCCAGGGCCGCGCCATCCAGGACGCAGGGAGGGCAGAGGCTGCGGGCTTCTCTGCATCAGGAGTGAAGAGGCCAACGTGCACACCCTTCAGTTTCCTTTGAAGAACGTCTACTGAGTAATCAAAACCACCACACACTGCAAAGCACCGCACACGATAACACGTGAGCCATGTGTGTAAAACAAGCGGGGTTCTGTTGTATCCCCCAGTTCTAAGCTGTTCATGTATAGGAAACAAGCAGGGTTCTGTTGTGTCCCCCAGTTCTAAGCTGCCCGTGCCTAGGGGGCCCAATGTCATCACGAAGGACCCTCTGGGAGGGAGGTGGGGGCCCCGGGTCAGAGAGAGGACAGGGGAGGAGGCAGTCAGGGAGGGAGAAGCCAGCAGCTCAGGACGAGGTCGGGCCACGGAGCACGGCACCTCAAGGAATTGGGAGAGCAGGAAGTGGACCCTGCCCAGCACCTCCGGAAGGAGCCAGCTCAAGGGAGCTTTTGAACATGAGGCAGCATAAATGTGTTGTTTAAAGCCACCGAGTCTGTGCTGATCTGCTAGTGGGGAAGGAACCTAACTTGCTTTTAATAAAAGCATTGCCTCCCTAAACACAGAGTAAAAGGTATTCCAACCACCTTCTTTTCCTCTGCTTGAGTTTCCCAGAGCTGTTACAAGGAGCTGGCGTGCTTCTTAAGGCGGGGGGACCCGGCCCTGCGCCCCCAGCTCCCATCTCAGGGGCTCTGTCAGCATCGCACTTCGGGAAGGTGGCTGTGGGCCCAGGGCTGACGGTGGCCATCAGATTGCCCTGGCATAACCCTAAAGACGCTTGGAAAACATTCTGCCCATTGCCTTCAGGTGCCCTCTAGTAATGTCACTGGCTCACTGAGACAAGTACATACAACAAGTAAAATGCATTCTTTGCTTGACAAATGATGACAACCAAAAATACCTCATGGGAGCTTTGGCAGGACCAGATGAAACCTCGTATTTTTAGCAGCAGTTGCAAGAGCTACTGCTCTTCCGTGAGGGGCCCTCGGTCCACGTGGGGTGTCCTCCAGCCCCGCACCCACTCCCGACGCCACCACAGCTGAGTTCTCTGTGGGATTCCCAAATGTGTTTCAAAACACGAATTCACCCAGTCATGTATGTACAAAGTTCAACTACAAAGAGATGAGCATGGACCATTTTTTTAATTCTTTATTTTGAAATAACTCCAGACTTCCAAAAAGTTGCAGGAACAGGCCAGAGTTTGCCCGCTTCTCCTGACGACATCTCCGTGTGCACGGACATGACATCCTGTGACCAACCCGCAGCCCCTCGCCCGTCCTTGGGGACGGCACCGCTGACCCTCATGCCAGGCTCGGCCCTCGGGCCAGGCACATCGGTGTGTCCTCGGAGATGGAGGTGACGCACTCAAGAGAAAACAGCAGTGATGCCGCCTCCTTGGGGCAGATCAGGGTGGGTGCCATGGGGACCTTGCCGTCGGCGACATCCCAGAGGTTTCGGCTGATGGCTGAGTGCTTCCTGGAGTGTCCTCCAGAACCCACTCCACCTAACGCTGCCCACCCACCTCCGGACACACAGATGCCCGGACGCCCCGTCCTTCCACACAGGCCGGGGTCGGGAAGAGGGCTGTCCCCTTCCTGCGCGGGAACATTTACGCTCCCTCAGCAGGTACTCCCGGGCAGGAACTGGTGCTGCAGCCAAACCCAACGGCTGTTCCTGCTGCTGCCAACCAGGCCACTGGGAGCCCTGTCGCGCGCTCCTGACAAGCCCACCAAGGCTTCGGCAACTCCCTACTGTCTAACACAGGAGGGTCCAGGGCCAAATGGACTTTCTGGCCCTGGGTCTTCCTGCTGGAAAGAGGCTCAAATCAAAGAGTCAGCCGCCAGGCAAGCCCCTGGATGCCAGGGGTCAGTGACCCCAGGCCCCCGGGACCTAGAGAGAAGCAATGTCCTCATGAACACAGGTGAGTGCATGCACACACTTCTGCACACACTTCCGTACATCTGCTTCCCTACCCACAGCCCTCCCCCACCACGCTGCCTTCTGGGCCCCAAGTTCAATCTCACGCAGGGCCATGCAGGGCACACCGTGGTCTCCCCCAGCCCTTCCTGCAGCCGCCTGGGCCCTGCCTCGGGGACAAGCACGGGTGGCCGGGTCGCACCAACGCTTTACGATTACAAACGCCGCTGCAATGGACAACCCTGTACATGTGCGACGTCACACTGGACACTTCCACGGCTCGGTTTGGGGATAAAAAGCAAGGCTTTTCATAAACCAGCTAGAAGCGTAGACAGAGACGATGGTCCAGTGACAAAGCACAGACAGAGCGCCGGGGGCTGGACCCCCTCGGGGCCAGCAGTGCCAGAGCCCCCGGCAGACGGCCGGCCTGGGAGGGAGCGAGGGGAGGGTCTGAGTGAGCACAGCGCCACCGCAGGACCGAGGGGAGGGAAGCCACACAGACAACTGGACATGGCTGGGGAGGCGCGAGGGCTCCCTGCAGCTGGCCTGGGCCGCCGGGCAGGAGGGGGTCAGGGCACTCACCTGGGTCTTCCTGGCACAGCCGGCCCCCCCACCCCCCCGCGCATTGGCCACACTGGGACAAAAGTCAGCTGACTGGGGCCAGGGAGGCAGTCACGGGCAGGTGCAGGGTCTCCGCTGAGGCTCTGAGCCCATGAAACACTGCCCTGGGGTCTGACAGCACTCAACGGGCCCACGCTGCCCTGACCCCTCCTGGCCAAGAAGCAGGGCTGGCTGCAGGCTCGGCGGCTCCTCAGAGGAAAAGCGCCAGAGGCCGCTGCGCACGTCGCCTGACAAGGGACGACCTGCTCCTCAGTTACAGCAGGCGACTTCTTGAAACTAAACATCTGACTGTACAAGTGTCACCTGATACGGATCAGAAAGACACATGGTGTTCAGGCATTACCAGAAAAAAATCAAGAAGTCAGATGTGTCAAAACCAGTTTCCCCTTCCAGGCTTATCCTCTGTTTTTGCTTCAAAAAAAAAAAAAAAAGAAAAGGAAACAAACAGAGTATAGGCTTATGAGTACAAAGAGCAACCCACTTGCTAGGAACGTTTTCCTGACAATGTCTGCGTAACTCCCATGTAACGTTTGTGCTGAACACTACCAGCGCAGAAAGGACACACACAGCCGACGACGTGAACCCAGCACCTCACTGGCGCCCACGGTGCCCTGGGTGGGCACCTGACACCTCACCTCCCCGGGAGCCCTGTCACCCACACGAACTTAGGATAAACCTTCACAAGCCTGAGGGAAACAGGAATCTAAAAGGGATACCACTTTTCCAAAATCCTTTCAGAAGCTGCAGAAGACGAGCCATTTCCTACCCTCAAGGCACATCCCCAGGGAGGGGCGTCTGGCGTGGTTCCGAGCAGCATCTTGCGGGCACCCTCACAGTCCCCTTCTGAGCCACGGTACCTATGAGCACGCTGTGGGGGCAGAGGAGTCCGAGCGACCCCACACAGCCTCGGGCTTCCTCCCAGCACAGCTCAGTTTTTGTCTGATTTTCCATCAATCAGATCTCCAAAGCCCAGCTTTTCCAGGGGTTCCTGTGCCATCAGCTGCCTGAAAGGAAAAGTGAGAACTGTCAGGGTCCATGCGGCCGCTCAGACCGGGCAGCCCCACCCCCTCCTGGGAACAGCACCCTCAGACCCGCACCCTGCGGTGCTCCCCACTTTCCTCATCACATGCTCCCGTGTGCAGGCAGGCCCTTGCCCGCCACGTCCACAAAACCCAGAGGCCTGGCAACAGCCCTTAGGACAACATCCCCAGAATCACAAACACCAGTTTGTGGAACCTACCAGGCAACAGATTACACTACCCTCACAGTGACAGAATGCACGAGACGCTCCTAAAATCCAAGGAGGCAAGTAACGATGAACTCCCACTACACCTTGTCAGAACACGGTTCTTAGAACCGGCCGCTCGGACATAGCGTGGTTGACAGGGCCAGGGCCCCCAGGTGATGCCTGAGCCCTAGAATCTGTGAGTGAGACCTGATGCCAGCGGAAGGGGGTTGGTATTAAGGCTGCTGAGGAAACAAGGCTGCCCATCAGCCAACTCAGAGAGGAGGCCACCTTGGATTATCCAAGGGGACCCAACCTAATCCCAGGGTCTTAAAATCATGGAACCTTGGGTGCCTCTGCTCAGAAAGAAAAAACGTAAAGAGGAGGAAGGATCCGAGGACGCAGTACTGTGGACCGTAAGGATGCGGGATGGGCCACAGGCCAAGGACAGGAAGCCCGGGAACGGACAGGTCAGGACAGACCCTCCTGAGGGAAGCGCCTGGGCCGCACCTGGTCGGGCCGGGCGCTCTCCCAGGACCAGACGCTGTACACGCTCCGCACCAGGTCAGGAGGCCCGGCCACCGTACATGCCAGGGCGGGCCCTGGACTTAAGGTCTCGGATCCCACGTGTATTCGCTGTGTCTCTGCTGACCGTGCAACCCCAATGTTACCAGAAGCTGCTGTGAAGAAGCGTAGCCCCCGCCCTCGGCAGCAGACACATCCACTCCAGGCCAACAGGGCCCGAGACTGTGTGAGCCAACTGACAAATTCTACTGAGGTCCAGTTCTTAAAAAGATGCATGTGAAGTACACGAAAGTAGGGTGTGGGGTATGAGCAAAAAGGGAAAAAGCGGAAGGGAAGAAGCTTTTTATAAGAGTGATGGAAAAATAAATAAATAAAAGAGTGACAGAGAAGTAAGTGGGCAAGATACGGACCAAGTCAGAAACACACACACCCCTCACAACCAAATGCGGCCTGACCAACCAGTGACGCCGCCTGAATCGTGGAACCCACAGAGCAGCTGACGCGTTCCCGTCGGCAGGCCTTCCTCAGAGGCCCAGGAGCAAACGGGAAAAAGACGGCCCTGCCGCTGGCCCTGCCGGGAAGTGCTCATCACACAGCAGCAATGGCTCTGGAACGAAAGCAACGGGGCCCCCCAGGCGGCCCTGAGTTGGGGCTGCTGGGCCCTGCGCCGGCCCAAGGAGGACCGACTTGGGGGTGGTGAGCCGAGCTCTGGGCAGGCGCAGGGCAGAGACGAGCGCCGAACTGTCACCAAGGCTCGGCAGAGCCAAGAGACTCAGTGAGTTCAGCTGTTTTGATCTGAGAGTGAGTGAAGCATGCACACTACGCAGAGACGACAGAGCTGGTGTCAGGCCGGCCCATCGTTAACCCTACAACACCTGTGAGCCTGCAAGACTCACAAGGGGAGAAGGGGGCCCCCTGAGGGCCAGGCACCAAGAAGGCCCATCTCCCTCAAAATCCCAAATGTCTGCAGAGAGCCCTCAACACACCTGGGGTCCAAGAAGCACAGCGGAGCTTGCCTGGAGGGGAACGTCTGAGTTTGTTAAGGAAAAATTGAAAACAGGCCCAGAATGGATTGCTTTTTGTCAACCTGTCTTCAGACAAGGCCTCTGCCAGACTGGGTTCCCTGGTGAACAAACAAAGAGCTCAAAGGACATAAATAAAAGTTTCCACCCAAGCACATAATAATAGGTTACATGCTTTCCCCATGAAGCTTTACAGTGGTACTTCTGAAGTAAAATCTCAACGGATCAGTTAGAAGCGTTTCTGTTTTGTCTAAAGGTGGGTCTTGTGAACTCTGGTTGAGATGGGAAGAGTCACTCATCTTTCACTGTTTCTTGGGCCCACTGTCTTGCCTGTCACACTACAAACAGCTCTTGAGTGGATGTCAAACAAAACAGCACGTATTTTTATGTTCTGAGAACGTTTAAAGGAATAAGCTCTGTACCCACAAATCTTTTGACTCAGTCAGCATTTTTATGATGTATGATTCTGAAACCTGAATGACACATCACACATTTAGAAAGAAAAAACTCTGAGGAATGCAATCACCTCCAAGGCTATCACTGGAGAAAAGGTTCCCACGGCTGCCAACTTTTGAGTACAACTCATCTCCGAAATGCCTCAATTTCACAGGCAGGCAGCCCTTTGGGGCCAAACAAGAAGCCAGGCCTGGGTGGGGCCTCTTGGGACAAACATTTCAGCTGGAGATGGTGGGCGGAGAAGACATAAATCATGGTTGGCAGGTACTTGCCTCTCCATCCTGCACTCTAGATATTCTTTTGATTCATTTCTGCACAAAGTATTTTCAAAATTATTGTCCCGGAGACACTTCATGAATTTCTCTTTAAAGCTTTTACATTCACCTGGAACAAAACAGAAAAATGTTTTCTTTTTAAAGTGAAAACAGGACATGCCCGCCCAGCAACCTTACTGGCAGCCCTCCTTCTTCTCCTCTGGAAACTAGTTTCCTTCAGAAACACTCTGGAAACACACGAGAAAAGACAAATGTTTTGGGTGGAACAGAGAGAGCAGGAAATGGGGGGCGTCCAAGGGGCGGCGCCGGGAGTTCCCTGCCGACGTTGCCCTTGGTCTGGAATATCTCTCGATAAAAGACTGGCAAATAAAGAACCATCCGAAACCCATTTTGGAAGCCTTAGCTTCCGCGGAGGCTGCGGCGACCAGGAGCGCCCTCCGCTTCCGCACCGGACGCCCGCGGAACCCCGCGCGCGGGCCTCACACCCGCCAAGGATGCGGCTGCCGGAACGTCGGCCCCCGACCGCAGGCCGGCCTCCGTGTCCTCTCGCTGGCCCCAAGGCCCAGCGCCGTCCCGCTCCTACCCCGGGCCGCGGTGGGAGGCTCCGGACCGAGCCGGGCCGGCCCAGCGCTGGACGGGCCGGGCCGGGGAGTCCGGACCGCCCGTACTCACCGAAGTGATCGAGCGGGAAGCTACCCTTGTCCGGGGGACGCGGCTGGAAGCTCTTGGACCCGAAGTTCATAGCTGTCGACATGATGGCGGCACCCAGACTCTCCCAGGGCGACGCGCGCCGTACGCAGGACGGCCGGCCGATCGCGGAGCAGGCCCCGCGGGAGCGCCGAGCACGTCGAGCGGCGAGCCGCCCCTGATGGGCCTGGACTTGGAGGTACAGGGCCCGCCCCCAGCACCGAGACCCCGCCCCTCGTGCCCAGGCCCCGCCCCCGGGCTCCGAAAGGCCGGGACCCTCAGTCACTTGTTCTGCAGGTGGGGTTTCTTATTATCCTCGAGGCAACACAATGGCAGAGGGTCCAGCCGTCATTTAGGACGAGGAATCGAAGTTTAGAGAGGGTCAGCAACTTGCCCAAGGACACACAGCTTCAATCCATAAGAAGCCCAAGGGCAGGAGGACGCTCCTGGAAGGCTGTCCCTGGCAAGGGTGAGGAGGGTCTCTCTGCATCCCCGCAAGGCTGCAGGGGCCTGGGCATCTTAGAGCTACAGAAATTCCTTCTCTCACAGTTCTGGGGGCCAGTTATCCGAGAGCCGGGTGTTGGGTCCCTGCTCATGGATTGCCGGCAGCTCTTGGTGCCCCCTGGCCTGTGGACGCATCACCCCGTCTGCCTCACCACGTGGCCTCTCCCTGTGTGTCTGTGTTCACACATCGTCCTTCCAGGAGGATGTACCCTTATTGGGTTAGGACCCACCCCCATGACCTCACCTCAGCTAATTACATATACAGTGACCCTGTTCCCAGAAAGGTCACATTCTGCGGTAGGGGAGCTAGGCCTTCAACATGTGAATCTGGGGACACAATTCAACAGATAAAAGAGTGAAAATGCTTTATAAACAGGAAAGTCCCTGGTGGTCATTTATTATTGTCGTTACAGCAACAGTAAAAATAGGGAAAAGGCTGGGGGCGGGGGGGTCACTAGCTCTCTGCAGCAGGGCTCCTCCCAACCTTGTACCCTGGGCAGAGCTGATGGAGGTGGATGGGCGCCCACCCACCACCCTGCTGTCTGATTCTTCCCTGAGCTCCAACCCCTATTCACGCATCCACTCCACCCACGTAGCGGTCCCTGGCGCCAGCCATGTGCCAGGCCCTAGACATAAACCCGTGGGGGCCTCAGCACCGCAGAGTCACCAGCTGACCCCCCTGGACAAGCGGTCTTCCCCCAGGCCCAGCACCACTGCCCCCTGTAACATCGGGGGCTTGCCCACCAGTCCCAGCAGCACCCCCTCCCCATAGAGCCTAGGTTGGATGCCCCCTTATCCAGAAGGCATCCAGCATGCCCTCACTCACTCGCAAGGACCCCCATGGTGCACACCACTCCACCTCCGGGCCTGAGGTGGGATTCCACCCTGTTTGTCCAGAGCCGCCCAGAGTTCCACCAAAGTCAGCGGGCCGACAGGAGGGGCCCAGAGCAGCGGGTAAGCCCAGCCCTGTCTGGGCCAGGGTTGGCCTGGGGCTCTGGGCCCACAGAAAACTACAAGAGGAAGCTTGTACCTGTTCCCCGTTCCTGTCATATTAACTGTTGACACTGCAGGAGCCAGGGGCCCCGCACTGGGTTACTTATTAATGCTCCAGGGCTGTGAACAATAGGAGCGTTTATTACCTAGCAAATAGCACCTTTCCCTGCAACTTGATCACACCACTTAGCAGAGGAAGGGACAGTTCCTCCCCACCCAGGCTGCCATACCTCTCCCTCTCCGTGGGGCAGCCCTGGGGGACCCATGACCCCTCAAGGCCCAGTGACCAGGAGGTGTTAGCCTGCCAAGTAACCGATTATTGCTTCATAGGAGATGTTGATCAGTTCATTAAGTATTTAGGTTGAAAAGCAAGGAATAATGCTTTTGGAAACCCTCTACTGCGGGGCTGTTTTACGTGGGCTCACAGTGCTGGCACACAGTAGGTGTTCAGTTAGTGTCTTTTGAAGAGGGAATTCCCTGGCAGTCCAGTAGTTAGGATTTGATGCTTTCACAGCCTGGGGCCTGACTTTGATTCCTGCTTGAGGAACTAAGATCCCTTAGGCCATGCAGCATAGCCAAAAATTTAATTAATTAGTTAATTAAAAATTAAATATGTTTGGGGAGACTTCTTTGGTGGTCCAGTGGTTAACAACCCGTCTGCCAATGCAGGGGACAGGGGTTCGACCCCGTCAGGAAAGGTTCCACAGGCCTTGGGGCACCTAAGCCCGTGCTCTAGAGCCTGAGAACAACTGCTGAAGCCAGCGGGACTACAGCCCATGGACCACTGGAAGCCCCTGAAGTGAGAAACTTGAGCACTGCAACAAAGAGTTAGCCCGCTCATCACAACCAGAGGAAGCCTGTGCGAAGGAACATAGACTTAGCACAGCCGAAAATAAAGAAACTGCGAGATTAAGTTAAAAATGATGTTTGAAGACTGAACAGTTTTCGGGCATTATTGTCTTCATGTCAGACATAGGACACACAGAGGTCAAGCCCCTTGCCCAGCGTTACACAGCCAATGTATGAGTTTTCCACCAGTGTAACAAACAGCCCTGACTCACGGGTGGGAGACAGCAGTGATCCGCTGCGCTCCTCAACGCGGGGAGTGGGCAGGCCATGTGGAGACGGCCCCATGGGCCATCAGCCGGGGCCGCCACACCTCAGAATAGAGAAGCCCTTCGGGTCTGAGCACGTGTGGCTGGGTGCTGGGCTTGGTTCCTGGGGGCCGCGGCTCCTGTCCCCCTGGCCCTCCTCCCACCTCCCAGGGCTTGCTCCCAGGATGCTGACGGCGTCCTGCACGCAGGATCCCGGAAGCAGCAGGTGGAAGCCGCATGGCTTTCCCGGTCCACCTCCAAAGTCTCAGAACATAGCCTCCACCATGGTCACTAGCCCCCACCCAGGGTCAAGGGCACAGTCCCCAGCTCTCCATGGCTGAGGGCCAAGTAGATGGAGAGCTTGAGGGCTGGGAGCTGTCATTGGAAGATGCTGTCTCAGCCTTAGGAATAGATAGAGGGGCCGAGTGTGGAGTCAGGTGCAACCCCAGAGCCCTCTAGGCAACAACCTGCACCTGGGGCATCAAGGCCAGGTGTGACCTGAGCCCCAGGTGACCCCGGCCACTCAGTTCTGACCACACAGTTCCCAGGCTTCTGCTCAAACACCAGTTCGGGGCTGGTACAACTGCCCACAGGACCGCGCTGGGAGGAGGTGAGCCTGGGTGCAGGTGGTCGTCTGGCCACCAGGAGCAGACACGGAAACACTTCTTGCCCCACTCCCCCCACTCCCCACCCCAGCCGAGTGCCACCAGCAGACCCAAGAGAGAGGAGAATTCATCGGAAACCTGATGATGTCACTGGGCTGCTGAATCGACCCTGGCCTGAAACTAGATCTTGCTGATCTTTTGATGTTAATAAATTCTGCTGTCAAAGAGTAATTTTCAAAAGGCTCTCAGACTAACAGATACTGAGCACACGGCCAAGCTTTATCTTGCCCGTTAACGAGGGAAGAGGGCGAGACGGCAAGGCTGCTTCAAAGAGAAATGTGCAAACATCGACAATCACACCCAGTCAGAGGAGAGAGAGCACTGGATGAGCCCACCAAGCAGGCTCAGGACCGGTTAACGCCTGACGGGACAGCAGAGCCAAGCCTCTGGGTGACCTCCTCCGTGAGACAGAAGTCCTCTATGTGTTTACGGGGGATCCCCTGCATTTGTCCTGTTCTTGGCCGGCTTGGTGGCCTCTGGGCCCAGTCGATCATAGACAAGTCAAATAGAGTGAACCCCCATTCCCCGGGGGACGAAGCGACGCCCAGGCAGGCAGTTAGGCAGCAACCCCATGAAGGGACCCATGTGACCCGTCTGCCATGTTTCTGGAGTGGGGTGGTTTTCTGAACCCTGCTCCCAAGGCCTCCCGGGGCTGCCCCAACAAGGGACATAGCCTGGGGGAGCGGAAAACACCACCACCACCCGCTCTGCTCCGGAGGCCGGAAGGCAGGGCTCCTCCTGAAGATGGCTCCAGGGGGGTCCTTCCTGGCCCTGCCGGCTTCCATGGTTCCCAGGTCCTTGGCCTGTGGCCGTGGCCCCCACCCTCGCCTCTGTTATCGAATGAGGGGCAAGGTGACTTGGTTAGAGAGCCACACTCCAAAGAGGCCCCCGTTCTGAGGCTCTGGGTGGACGTGAATGTCGGGGGAACGTCCTTAGACCCAGCGCCCTGCTCCAGCCAGTTTGGGTTTTCCCAGGACCCTCCCCGTGGTGCCCCCCTCACTGGACAGGATGCAGGCAGAGCAGTGGGTCACTCAGAGTGGATGCTGCAGGGCCCACCACATGCAGCCCTGGGGCGCGGGCCACCGCGCCACCGAGCTGAGCCCACTCCCTCCCCGGGAAACCCAGCGACCCTGACAGGCTGTCAGCAGCTGGAGGCCCCAGGACAGACGCCAGGGGCGGTCCCGTCAGGAAGGGTCTTGAGACGGGCTCCCTGCAGCTCAGTCCTGCTGCGGGGGCCACGCCTGCTCCCCAAGCACAGCGGCAGCACCAAGACCTGGCCCCCACCCAGCAGGCCCCAGAGCGGAGCCCCTGACAGGGATGCGTGCTCCCCTCCAGCCCCGCAGCCACACTGCCATCCCAAGGGGCTGGGCCCCCAGTGTGGCTCCATGGCTGTGACCCAGGGCTGCCCAGTGCCCCCGCTCTGTGCCACCCCTGCAGGCTCCGCACAAGCTGTTCCCTCTTCACGAACGCCCTTCCTCCTGAGACCCACCCTCCAGCTCCAACACCCGAGCGGTTTTCTGTGCAAAGTCACAGCCACACACCCCCCCGCCTGCCCCCGCTGGGCTGCGAGGGCACTTCAGGATCCCTGTAGCACCCATTCCTATAGCCCTAGCTCCTAGAGAGCCTGGTAATACACAGGAACTCAATACACGCACGCTGAATTAATTGCCTGAACTGTCCTGGGCAGACAGGCCCCCAGCCTCTGCACCCAGTAGGGACCTTGGGAACCACTGCTCAGCCCAAAAGGCCCAGACTCAGCATTTAGAGATGAGTTCCCGCTCCTGGCAGCCCCAGGACTGTGTATCTGGACGGGCTGCCTGTGAGGCAGTGAGCACCCCATCACAGGAGGTGTGCAAATGGAGGCTGGGAGGGGTAAGGGCCCACAGGCTGCCTTGGCTCTGGGGTTGGTGTAGGGGCACAGATGTCACCACAGGGGACAGGCCCAGGGAGAGGGGCCCAGTGGTGGGGAGGGGGCACTTGCTGCCTTGTGTCGGGGCGGGAGGCCCAGCACAGGCCCAGCCGCTTCTGGGGCCACCAGCCCTCTGGCCACTCAGAGCTCGATTCCAAAGGGGCACCTCCTTCCTCCCAGTTGGGCCTCCAGGCTTTGGAACAGAGTGCAGCCCAGACAGACAGGGCTCATAAACCTGCCACTTGCCGCCCCAGCGGCCTGGCTTGCAGGCTGGTCCCCTCTGCGTAGCCGACCCGCCCCCACGCCCACCCTGTCCTGGGAAGGCCAGTGCCGTCTGGCTGGGGGACCCGGCTCCCACAGCCCCCAAGGGGCACACCGTCACTCTGGCAAGCTCGCTGTTGGGCTCTGGAGCCCTGGCATTTGAGGGGCTTGCCATGTAGACCTGGTGCCCGCCCTGGCCCAGGCAGAGGTGCTGGGTGGACACAGGTGGTGGTGGGCTTGGGGGGGCTGCGGGGTTCCCAGGTAGGGAGGCTCAGAGCCGAGGGAGGATGGGGCCCAAGGCCCTGGAGCCCTGGTTCTGGTGGGGAGACGGGGCAGAGGCAGATGGTGCAGGGGGCAGATGGTCACCGCGCCGTGTCCCCCCAACAAGGCAAGGGCTGAGGAGGCCCCAAGGGCCCAACTGGACGTCTGCTCCCCAGATGGTTCCCCGACCCCTGGCACAGACTGGCCCCCACATTCCAGGCACGCCTGTCGCTTTAAGCGCCTGGCTGTCCCTGCAAACTGCTCCTTCCACATTCTCGGGGTGGTGGGGTGGCGGGAGGGTGGGGTGCCGGCACGCCCTCCCAGGAGGCCCACAAGGCGCAGGGCAGGCAGCACCCGGGAGGGGAGCTGGCCGCCACCCGCCGGACTCATGGCCCTGCTGCTCCTGGCACTGCTGGCACTGCTGACGCTCTGGGGGCTGCTCTGCGCCCACACCCCAGCCTCCCGATGGCCCCCGGGACCGCGCCCCCTGCCCCTCATCGGGAACCTGCACTTGCTGCGGGTGGCACAGCAGGACCAGGCGCTGATGCAGGTGGGTCCACGTGGGCCTGTGGGCGCCCTGGGCCCCCACCTACCCCATCTGGGGGAAAGCTGAGCCCCCAGTTTCCAGGACCCCCATGGAGTGGGAGGTTTGTGTCCAGCCTGGCACTGGCCTGACATGGAACAGAAGGCCCACGGGCCCACCTTGCCTCTGAGAAGAGAAGCACGGTCCACCCCAGAGGGGAGAGGATGGGAGGTCCAAGGGGCCAGGAGGGCTCCCTGGAGGAGGCAGCAGTTGATGAGTGCCCACGGGAGGCCCAGGTTGGGGTGGCAGAGGGAAGAAGGTGGGTGCTCCTGGGAGCGGCACCAGCAGCCGTGGTCTGGAAACAAATGAGCAGGACCAGCACACAGAGGTGCCTGGAGGCGGGGAACTCTGCGGGAAGTGGCTGCCTGAGCTGGGCTGAGGGTGGACCACTCACCGCGCTCAGTGAGCTGATCCAGGGCTGAAGGCCTGGCCCATCCCCAAGGCTGGGCAGCTGATGCCCGCTCAGCTCCCGCCTTGATCACGCGCAGTGGTGCAGCAGGGACTGCCCAGGAGGCTGCCTGGTGGCCCTGTGGGGGAGGGGGGGTGCGGGAGCCCCAGTCCCTCGGGGAACCCTGGAGCGCCCTGAGCTGGGGCAGCCACCCCGCCAGGTGGCAGGTACCAGGGCTCTCAGGCCTGTGCCCAGAGCTGGGCCCTGGAGGCCACCATCCGTGTGCTGGGGGCAGAGCCGCCGGCAAACAGCAGTGGCCGGCCCTGCTCCACTGTGTGATCCACAGCAATTCACTGCCCACCCCCAGGCCTCAGTCTGCCCATCTGCAGAATGGGCAGGGGAGCCGTAAGGATAGAAGTGGCTGGTGGGGCGTGAGGGCCCCCCAGGGACCCGGGTGGGGCAGCGGATGAGCCCTGCCCATTCCCACCAGCTCGCCAAACAGTACGGGCCAGTGTTCACTGTGCACCTTGGGCACCAGAAGACGGTGGTGCTGACCGGCTACGAGGCGGTGAAGAAGGCCCTGGTGGGCGCCGGGCAGGAGCTGGCTGGCCGGCCCCCAATTGCCATCTTCCAGCTCATCAACGGGGGCGGGGGTAGGTGTGTGTGTGGGGCGGGGTGCAGCAGGGGCCGAGGCATGGTGAGTGCTCCCATGAGGCCCGGGGGAGCACCAGGGTGCCCGCGTGGCAGGCCCAGAGCAACGGGGGCGGGGCACACCAGGACTGTGCCCACCACGCCAGCTGGAGGGGGCGCTGGGGGCCTGGGGGGCCTGAGACTCCGTCGGGATCCTGCCCCGGGGCCGCTCACCACCGGGCGTGTGCGGCCCGCAGGCATCTTCTTCTCCTCAGGTCCACGCTGGCGGGCCGCCCGCCAGCTCACCGTGCGCACCCTCCATGGCCTGGGCGTGGGGAGGGCGCCCGTGGCCAACAAGGTCTTGCAGGAGCTGAGGTGCGTCATGGCACAGCTGGACAGCTACGGAGGTGAGTGGGGGCCAGGGCGCCTCTGCCCTGCACAGCCCACAGCCCTGAAGCCTCTCTCCCCCCACAGGCCAGCCCTTCCCGCTGGCCCTACTCCGCTGGGCTCCCTCCAACATCACCTTCGCGCTCCTCTTCGGCCAGCGGTTCGACTACCGGGATCCTGTGTTCGTGTCCCTGCTGGGCCTCGTTGACGAGGTCATGGTCCTCCTGGGGAAGCCAAGTGTGCAGGTAGAGGTCGCTGTTCTCCGCCTGGGGGCTGGGGGGGGGAGTCAGAGAGGGAGGTGGGGGCAGGGAGAGGCTCCTGACTTCACCAGCCACGTGACCCCAGGCCAGTGCCCTGTGCTCCTGGAGAACCAGGGGAGCTGAGGGCAGGGGCCCCACCTGCCCTCCATCCCGTCAGTAACAGGCGTACCCGCTCACCGGTGGGGGTGGCCCTGGGCGTTTCCTCTCGGATATGGCGCTTGGTTCCCCCCAGGCCCTCAGAAATTCCTGCAGGGTCAGGAATCGTGAGGACGGGCACAGATTTCCAAACCCCATGGTGGCATGCATTTCATTTTTCCTCAGAACTTAAAAACAAAGGAAGTTAGTCGCACAGTGGTGTCCAACTCTGTGCGATCTCACGGAGTGTAGCCCGCCGCATCCACTGTCCGTGGAATTCTCCAGGCAAGAATACTGGAGTGGGTAGCCGTCCCCTTCTCGAGGGAATCTTCCCGACCCAGGGATAGACCCCGGGTCTCCTGCATTGCAGGCAGATTCCTTACCAACTGAGCTACTAACTAAAAGTGTTCCTAATCTGTAGGCACCACGACCAGTTTTAACTCTAACTCGCTCGAGCATGCGTGTTAGGGTGGCACGAGGCTCACGTGTACTCCAGCCCCATCTCTCCAGGACCTGAGGCCATGGGCGGGGGGCAGAGGCTGCTGGCTTCGGTCCTGATCCTAGTCACCCCACCTCCCCCAGGCTGGCAGAGCCTCAGTCAGGCTGGAACACTGGACTTTCCCCCAAAAGTAGCCTGGCCGAGTCCCTCCAGGGGGCGCCAGCAGGCCTGAGGCTGGAGGGTCAGGGGCTCCAGGGAGACAGAATGTCCCGTGGCCTCCCATACCTGCACCCTGAGCGATGGCCAGGTCCCGGGGGACAGCGTGGTGCAGGGGGCAGCTGACAACCGTGCCAGTCAGGCTGTGCTGTGGCCCCCGGCTCATGGCGTCCGGAGCTGAAGCTTGAAGTTGGCAATTATCCTTTTTTCGGAATAACTCAGCGAAGTCAGTGACTTCCAAGGCGGGTCCTGCCCCGCCTCCCTCTCACCTGCTCTGGTGGGTGTGGAGCGGGGCCGGTTACAGCCGCCTGCTGTGACTTGCACGGACCCCGGATGTGTTACCCGTCGGTTGGCCCCTCCTCCGCGCACCCAGGTGGAGGCTTTCCTCCGCGCCCCCGGGGCTGACGTCCCACGGGGAGGGAGAGGGAGGGTGGCACCTCTGCCGGGAGCCTGGAGCGCTGCGGGTCCGCACAGTTGGCCCCACCTGCGGGCGGAGGCGCGCCCTTAGCCCTCACAGCGCGGCCCTGCCCGCCCCCAGCTCTTCAACCTCTACCCGCGGCTCGGGGCCCTTCTCCAGCTGCACCGGCCGGTTCTGCGCAAGATCGAGGAGGTGCGGGCCATCCTGAGGGCCCTCCTGGAGGCGCGGAGGCGCCGCACACCCCCGCGAGGGCCCGAGCGGAGCTACCTGGACGTCCTGATCCAGCAGGGTCAGGTGTGGGCGAGACCTGCCCCCGCCCAAGAGGCCGCGGGAGGGGGGAGTCTTGGGGCCCCGCCTGGGGGAGAGAGCTGGGGAGGGAGCTGGCCGACCCTGCGCCATGCCGTTCCACTCCCTGGCCGGGCGCCTCCGAGCCTCGGTCACCTCACCTGAGACGCGGGGCGTCTGCGAGGCCGCGTGAGCCCGCGACTTAGGAGGCGCCTGTCTTCGACGCCTTTCTCGAGGCCGGGGCTGGCTGCGTGGGGGTTCCATGGAGCCTGCCTCCGGCTAAGCGCGGCCCCGCCCACCTCTGCAGGGGAAAGACCCCGAGGGCCTGTTTACTGAGGCCAACGTGGTGGCCTGTGTCCTGGACATGGTCATGGCCGGGACGGAGACCACCGCCGCCACGCTGCAGTGGGCCGCCCTTCTGATGGGCAAGCACCAGCGCGTGCAGAGTGAGCCTGGGGCGCGTCTCCGCGGGGCCCTGGGCGCAGGGCGGAGCCAAGGTCGAAGGGGGCGGGGCCCGGGATGCAGGGCGGGGCCCAGATCGCAGGCTGCCAGGCCGAGGTCTCAGGGGGCGGAGCCCAGGGCGCAGGGGTGGGGCCGGGGTCTCAGGGGGCGGGGCCTGGGGCGCAGGGCGGGGTCCCAGCATGCTGGGCCTCTGCCTCGCCGGCAGGCCTTGTACACAAGGAGCTGGACCGCGTGCTGGGGCCAGCCCGGTTCCCGCGGCCCGAGGACGTGCACGCCCTACCTTACACCAACGCCGTGCTCCACGAAGTGCAGCGCTTCATCACGCTGCTGCCCCACGCGCCGCGGTGCACGGTCGCTGACACCCAGCTGGGCCCCTACCTGCTCCCCAAGGTGCGAGGCAGGCCCCCGGCGCCCCAGACCCTTCCCTCTCTCCTCTCGGCCGCGGTAGATGGGGCTGGGACGGCGTCTCGGGGACACAGATGCTGAGCAGGACTTCCCGTGCTCCCCGTCTGCGGAGAGCGGCCGGGCGCTCACCTGGCGCCCCCGCAGGGCACACCCGTGCTGGCCCTGCTGAACTCCGTGCTCCTGGACGAGACGCAGTGGGAGACGCCCCACCAGTTCAACCCCGGCCACTTCCTGGACGCCGACGGGCGCTTCGTCAAGCGGCCGGCCTTCCTGCCTTTCTCCGCAGGTACTGGAGCCCCCGCCGGCCATGGCCTGGTCCCCAGGGCCTCCGAGCTCAGGGCCCCGCCGTTGGGGCTTCCCCCAAGCCTCCGGGACCCACCGGCGCCCCCTGTCCCCGCAGGCCGCCGCGTCTGCGTTGGGGAGAGCCTGGCCAGGTCGGAGCTATTCCTGCTGTTTGCGGGCCTCCTGCAGAGGTACCACCTGCTGCCCCCACCGGGCCTCAGCGCCGCGGCCCTGGACACCACACCCGCCCCTGCCTTCACCGCGCGGCCGTCCGCCCAGGTGCTGTGCGCCGTGCCCAGACTGCAGGGGCGCTGACTGCGAGGCCTGGCTGACCGAGGGCCCCGGGGTTGGGATGGGGGGAAGCTGCTCTGGGTTGTGGGTGATGGAGACAGGACAGTCGGACACAGACATGCAGCCCCTCACCTGGTTCTCTGCTGCGACCACCACAGGCTGTGTGTCCCGGGCCAGGGAGCCTCATTTGGGCACCGTGGGGGATGGGGTGCTCCCCAGCCAGAGGGCCCCTCCCAGCTTGGCCCTCCTCTCCCCTTCCCAGGCCCCACAGCCCAGGGCAGAGCTGGGTGTTGTCCCCGCTCCACCCCCAGACCCTGGAGTGTTGCTGCTGCCTCTGTGTACACCGGGGTCCCTGCCCGTCCTCCGGGGTCCCCCCAGCAGGTGCCGCACCCCCACATTCCCACAGGCCCCTCAGGCTTCCTGCTGTCCCCGTTCCCACGTTCCCCTCCCCACTGGCCCTCATCCGGTTCCCCAGCAGGGCCTGCGTCACCAGCCAACACGTGCCAGGCACAGGGGTGTCACCCACCTGAACTTGGGGTGCAGGGAGATAGCCGGGGCTGCTGGGCCCCAAGGCGACATCCACCCAGAGGCCAACCTCGGACCAGCATTCCCGGCTTGCTCTGCATCGTGCCAGGCCCTGGGCCCGCCGGGTCCCCTGCAGACCCCATCCTGTTCCTACGGCTCCTGGGTGCCCTGTGGGCGGTGGGCCAGTTGAGGGAGAACGGCTGCCCAGAGCGGGTCATAGGAGTCTGCAGGGAGGCCTCCTCCAAGAGCTCTTGCCCCACAATCTCCCAGACCCTCCCCACGAGCCAGCTCCTGGTCCCTCGGTGGAGGCCACGCACCTCGGGGCAGCTGGCGGTGGGTGGGGAGCGGGCCAGGACATGCAGGTCAGCTGAGATCACAGCCCTTCCTGCCCAACACCACCTCTGGATCACAGCCCTTCCTGCCCAACACCACCTCTGCCAGTGGGACACGGGCAAACAAGGCGTAGCTTCCGCCCTCCTGGAGCTCGCCGACAGAACCGACTGGACCAAGGGAGGCATGGGTTCACAGCTGGGGCCGTAGGGCCTTCCTGGAGCGGGGGGGGGGGGGGGGGGTGGCGGGCATCAGATGAGCACGAATTAAAAGGTCTGCCCACGCTGAGTGTCAGTGACCATGTGGGGAGGCTGCCCTTGGGGTGTGAGCCGGTGAGCAGGACAGGGTCGGAGTGGGAGGAGCCGGGTGACAAGGCACGTGTCCCTCCAGAGGTTCACATGGAACGACCCAGGAGACACCGGTCAGCACACAGATCTCGGGGGTGAGGCAGGGCAGGAGAAGCTTCCTGAGGATCTGGGGCAGGGCTGTGGGTGGCCGTGCCTGGATGCACTGATGGCACACTGGGCCTGGGGAGGGGAGGGGGGAGGGGCTGTCGAACCTTCTCTTCTCAGGATTTGTCTCTTGGCTGGGTTGGGCTTTCGTTGCCCCACTGACCCCAGGCCAGTGCCCTGTGCTCCTGGAGAACCAGGGGAGCTGAGGGCAGGGGCCCCACCTGCCTTCCATCCCGTCAGTAACGGGCGTACCCGCTCACCGGTGGGGGTGGCCCTGGGCGTTTCCTCTCGGATATGGCGCTTGGTTCCCCCCAGGCCCTCAGAAATTCCTGCAGGGTCAGGAATCGTGAGGACGGGCACAGATTTCCAAACCCCATGGTGGCATGCATTTCATTTTTCCTCAGAACTTAAAAACAAAGGAAGTTAGTCGCACAGTGGTGTCCAACTCTGTGCGATCTCACGGAGTGTAGCCCGCCGCATCCACTGTCCGTGGAATTCTCCAGGCAAGAATACTGGAGTGGGTAGCCGTCCCCTTCTCGAGGGAATCTTCCCGACCCAGGGATAGACCCCGGGTCTCCTGCATTGCAGGCAGATTCCTTACCAACTGAGCTACTAACTAAAAGTGTTCCTAATCTGTAGGCACCACGACCAGTTTTAACTCTAACTCGCTCGGGCATGCGTGTTGGTGTGGGGCGGGGTATGTGTGTCTGGTGGCACGAGGCTCACGTGTACTCCAGCCCCATCTCTCCAGGACCTGAGGCCATGGGCGGGGGGCAGAGGCTGCTGGCTTCGGTCCTGATCCTAGTCACCCCACCTCCCCCAGGCTGGCAGAGCCTCAGTCAGGCTGGAACACTGGACTTTCCCCCAAAAGTAGCCTGGCCGAGTCCCTCCAGGGGGCGCCAGCAGGCCTGAGGCTGGAGGGTCAGGGGCTCCAGGGAGACAGAATGTCCCGTGGCCTCCCATACCTGCACCCTGAGCGATGGCCAGGTCCCGGGGGACAGCGTGGTGCAGGGGGCAGCTGACAACCGTGCCAGTCAGGCTGTGCTGTGGCCCCCGGCTCATGGCGTCCGGAGCTGAAGCTTGAAGTTGGCAATTATCCTTTTTTCGGAATAACTCAGCGAAGTCAGGGACTTCCAAGGCGGCTTCAGTTGCGGCTTGTGGGGCCCCCGTCCTGTCAGGAGGAAACTTTGTTGCGGTGCATTGACTCTACTTGTGGTCCGCAGGCTCCAGAGCTCAAGGGCTTAAAGCTGAGAGGCAGGTGGGATCTTAGTTTCCCTGTCCAGGGATCGAAGCCTCGTCCACTGCAGTACGAGGTGGATTCTTCACCACTGGACCCCCAGGGCAGTCCTGTGCCCTCTTCCTGTCGGTCTGGAACACCTGGGCGTTGGATTCAGGGCTGAGAGAACACGCCTCGCCCTGGGCACAGCGGAGGGACGGAGCTTCATCCTGCAGGGGTTGGGGGGTGGGCTGGGCAGAGGCCCTGGCCGTGACTGGGAACCACGGTTACCCTGGGGGGTGTCCTTGTGTGGCAGAGTTGGGGAACCCCGTTTGTGGGCGGAGGCTCTAGTAGGTGTGCGTCTTTGTGGGGACAGGTGGGTGCTCCCCCCATGACCTCCATCCCCGTGGCCCATCTCGGGGGCCTGGCTCCCAGGATGCAGAGCGCTGCACTCGGTGTTCTGTCAGCCCCGGCCCCAGCATGTCCGCAAGCGCTGGACGCCGACCACGCCCGAGGGCAGCGCACCAGGCCGGGTCGACGGAAACATCCCCCCACCCATCCGACCGTCCGAGGTGGCCGGGCCACTCTCCGAACACGGCCTCCGGGTGCCGGACGCGGGCGCTCCGCTGGGGACCAAGGGCTGGGCAGGTGCACCTGCAAGGGGGCAGTGCTCGGTCCCTGCTGGCGCCTGGAAATGCAGGCAGCAGCGCAGTCGTCAGCCCCGCAGTCAGAAGCTCCACCCCAGGGAGGCCACAGAGCCCACACTCACAGCCTCTGGGAAGAAGATGAGTCATGTGACGAACCACGGCCCCCAGGGGCCTGTTTTTTATTGAAAATACAGCCAGGGGTAGGCACGATGGATGAACCTCAGTCCGGCCATCAGCGAAGGCAGGCAGGTGGCCTCGAAGACGCATGGGAGGGACCATCAGCTGGAGGAGGGGGCCATGCCCCCCACGCGGATGGGCTGCAGCTGGCAGGAAAGGCCAGCTCTGACCTCTAGCATAGTCCTGGTAGAAAGACAAGATGTTTCCCACAATAAGAAGCTTCTGTGGGAGCCTGCGCACCACCGGGAGGCCAGGTCATTTCAGAGTGACCGCGTTCTACCGTGGAGGGGGTAACTCGTCATCCCCTCTGAAGAGTTCCTGGTCGAGGAGTCAGGAGAGAGAGGCAGGCCCTCCGGGTGCAGGACCCAGAAGACCCAGGGCCCTTGCCCTTGCTGGGGTCCACGGGGCCCAGGCGCCCCCGAGCTGCCCGCTAGGAGAGCAGCTGCAGCACCTGCCGGGCGCGCTGGGTCCCCCCAGGCGGCAGGGCGCAGGCGCCCGCCTGGTCCAGCTCCCGCATTAGCGCCTCCGCCTTCTGCACCGTCAGCTCGCGGGCGCGGCCCCTGAGTCCCTCCAGGTAGGCCAGCAGGGCGGGGAAGTGCTCGTCAGGGACCTGGAAGGGGCGGGAAGGTGGTCAGGGTTGGTGGGTGGTGCGTGGAGACAGCGGGTGTACAGGGCTCACCCCGAGGAGCTGCTCCCAGACGGCACCCCCGTTCCCCGCACAGGCTCTCCTTATGCTCCAGGGGCTGACAGAAGTCGGCCCTCCTGAAACGCCGCTAACAGTAGGCAGATCATTTTGAGAGAGGTCTCTTGGGACAAAGAGAATCCAGGAAGAGGTGACTGTTCTGGGGCAGAGATGGATGGATGAGAACGCCGGGTCTCAAGCAGGGGAAGCTCAGGCTGAGACCTGGAGTCCTGCTCAGCCCCTCCCGACCCCCAGCCCATCCTTCCGGGGCTGGCTGCGCAGGCCTTCCAGAAGCAGGAGCAAGCGCGGGGCTGAAACAGGGGCTGGGGTCCACGTCAGAAGCGGCTGGCGCCCCGCAGAATCCAGAACCTGAGAAGAGGCGGGTGCCCCGCGCGCCGAGTGGGGAGGGCTGCGGGGAAGGGGCGCGGGCTGCGTTTCCGGCCTCTGCGCCCCGCGTCCGGCGCCGCAGCGCACGGCCTACGTCAGAGCTCTGCGCAGGGCCTCCTCCACGGAAGAGCCCCACCCCGTCCTGTGCACGCAGAGGCGGCCCTCGATGTCCCCACTGGGGGAGCCCCTCCTAACTGGGATGACTCTGACGATCGTCCCGATGGATATGACGGCCCCAAAGAAACGGATTACAGCCCGTCCAGGGAAACGGGCGAGTCTAGGCTGATGCGAAACTCGCAGTCCACGGGGGTGGGGGGGGGGGGGCGGCAGCAGAAGGAAACAGAAAAGTCCCGGACAGGGTCGCTGAGGCACAGCGAGCGTGAGACAGAAGGCAGCTGCCCAGCTCCAAGCGGCCCCCAGGCACGTGCTGGTCACAGGAACAAAGCTGACAGGCACCCGAGTCACACGACTGACATCGACGTCAAGCCACCGCGAACCGGCCACGCCCAGCCCACGACGCCGGTCCGCAACTGTCCTCTGAGCACGCGGGGCCGGGCGGGTCAGCTCAGAGAGGAGACGAGGGCAGGTCCCCGGCGAGCGCGCTTCTGCACAGACCCCGCACAGACAGCGGGGCCGTTGCTGGTGGACGCCCCATCGTCAGAGAGGTGCATCGCTGGGTCTGACGGCGTCTCCCGGACACAGCGGAGGAGCCGTGGCGGGGCAGAGTGGGCAAGACCTCCAAACACGTGGACGGTGGCTTTTCTGGAGTGGCGGCCCCAGAGCCGGGAGGCCTGTGGCTGAGTCCAGCTGCTGGGCAAAGCCGGCAGGGCTTCTGCTCCCTGACCCCCAGGAGTCCCTCCCTCTGGGCCCAGTTTCATCTCTGGAAGACGGAGGGCTCAGCGGGGTTCTCCCACGAGGCCTCTGTGAGCTCCATGATTCCTTGTCCTCCTAACACAGGCTACGGGAGGGGGAGGACTTCCCCGCCCCTGGAGGGAGGCTGAGTCTAGTGTGGCCCAAGCAGGCACTGCCAGCCGGTCCTTCCCCTCCATCATGGGGAGACCCAACCGCACCCTCTGCCGCTCAAGTGTGCATAGGCCTCCCCCCACCCTGAGTGCATACCGACCTCCCCCGCCCCCCGAGTGTGCACAGGCCTCCCCACCCCCCAAGTGTGCACAGACGTGTCCCCCCCGTGTGCACAGGCCTCCCCGCCCAAGTGTGCACAGACATGTCCCACCCCCCGAGTGTGCACAGGCCTTCCTTCCCCCACCCTGAGTGCACACCGACCTCCCCTGCCCCTCCATGTGTGCACAGGCCTCCCCGCCCCCGTGTGCACAGACGTGTGCCCCCCACCCCCCGTGTGCACAGGCCTCCCTGCCCCAGGGGGAAGAGCCCCACCTGGTCACGGTCATACATGTGCAGCAGCAGCCAGGTCTGCCTCGTCTTCTGGAACCTCCAGTCCTCGTGCTTCTGGGCCCAGCTGGGGAACAAGGACAGGACGGCTCAGGTCCCGGAGGGGAGGCGCAGGCGGCCTCTCCCTGATGAGGGCCAGGGCATCTGCAGAGGATCCTCCCAGGGAGGGCGGCCCCGGTCGGGGGTCTCAGGGGTCTTCGCCAGGTCTCTGCTCACCTGCTGGGGGCCCTCAGCTGGGACATCAGGCCCAGGGGGCACAAGGCCACTTTCTTCTAGCTCTTTGTAGCCACTGTTTTATGATTCTAACGGAAATACCCTGAATTTCACAAACTCGGTCCTTCTTCCAGAAACACGGATCAGGCAGGGTCACCTGATCACCTGGAGGGGCAGGCACAGCCTTCCTGCCCTGGAGGATGGGGGAGGGGAGGCAGGGAGCAGCTAGGACCCCCGACCTCGAGGGCCACGCAGGGGTCCCCGAGGCCTTGGATGTGCTGGCCCCCGGGTGACCAGGACACTGGGAGAAGCCCAGGCCAAGCCGGAGCCCAGTGGAGACCCGAACACTGGGATGGAGGCCGCGAGGCGGACGGAGGTCTGGGCCCCGAGCTGCCGGCCGCGTGGGAGGGGCAGAGGGCGGCTCTGCGGCTGCAGGATGGCAGGAGGGCCTCCTCGCCGAGCCGCCCAGCCTGTGACCCGGGTGCACGCGGGACAGGGCCCCGCTCTGCCTTCCCCATCCGCAGGGGCGCACGGGCCCAGCTGGGGCCTAGAAGCGGCCCAAGGAAGGGCCGCCAGGCCAGGGAGTCAGCGGTCCCCTGCCACCCCCTCGCGGAAGGCCCCTGTAGGCCACCCCGAGGGGCCCCCGCTTGCCCTAGGACTCCTCCAATGGTAGTGATCAGGGAGCCACCTCATCGTCCGCCTGGGCCAGTGGAGAACCCCTCCCCTGCGCGTCCCTCCCGGGAGGACACAATCACCCAGACACGCGACTCTCGGATAGGGCTGAGGTCCCCGCGGCGTAGCGCCCCTGGCGGGACCCCTGCGAGCCGAAGGCCGCCCGTGGGCCGCGCTCCCACTGCAGAAGCCTAGCCCCTCGCATCCCCGCTCTGCAGAGTCCTCCTCCTGGAGGGGTCTGGCTCCTGCTACAGCAGATCGGCCTTTACGAGAAGTAACACCCACCCTGTCCCCCACCTGTGGTTCCATCCCTATCGCGCCGTGGCCCATTCACCTCCCCTGAAAACTTCACTTCCCCCAGGGTCTCGGTCCCTCCTGAAAGGTCCGAGGGTTTGGGAGGGACGGACCACCTGGGGCCTGAGGCTCCACTGGCGCTGTTCCCTCACTGCTGACGAGGACGGGCAGGGCGTCTGCCCAAAGCAATGCCTCTTCCCTGACCCAGGGCTCCAATCAGGGTCAACTCAATGCCCGTGTGGTCAGCGGGGACCCAGAGGTGGCTCCGGGGTCTGGGGGCTTTGAACTGGCTTCAGATGCCCTGCCCTTGGGGAGCAAGGGGCGCTGGGCGGGGCCTTGGGAGTGTGGGGCCCACAGATACACCAGGGGTGGCCCCCAGACACGCCAGGACCAGGCGGACATCGCCCCAGTGACCCTGGACCCCCGGCAGGGGAGAACCTGCAGAGGAAGGATCTGTGTGACTGCAGTGAGCTCAGAGCTCAGCAGGGAGGCCGCGCTTGTGTGTATGTGTGTGTTGGGGGGGCAGTGAGGGCTGAGCCCCACCCTCCAGAGGAGCGGCGGCCTGGTGAGCGAACCCCACGAGGATGCTTTCCTCCCAGACGTGGCGGAGAGGCCGGTTCAGGCGCTGCCACAGCTCCGGCGACCTCCGGAAGCTGGTCCCTCAGGGATCGAGGGTGGGTTCACCACCCACTCCCTGGGACCACCGTCTGCAGAGCCACCCCCGAGTGCCAGCGGGCCCTGAGGCTGTGGCCGCTGCTGCAGGTGGAAGCGCCTGGATGGGACCAGGTGTACACGAGGGGCCTCGGTCCCAATGGCACCCTCCACCTCGCAGAGAATCACCCAGGGTCAGGGTCGGGGAGGCTGCTCCGCCGGGTGGCCTCCTGACCCCTGGGCTCCACACTGTCAAGGGTGGTCACTGCAGGTCGAGGACCTTCCTGTGAGGAGGAGGCGGCACTGAACCGAAGGTGGATTTCCTACAGACAGTGGGCAGGTCTCAGTGGGGAGTGTGCCCCCGCCCCACGAGGAATCCTGGCAGGGCCAAGGCCCCCCCGGACACCGTCCTGCTCACGGCCTGTGCCCCCCACTTTGTGCCAAGCTCCGATGGGCTGGGGGGAAGGCAGCCCCCAATCTGTCCCCCAGGGCACGTGAGCCCTGCCCAGGCCCGAAGTGGGGTCCCCAAGCTCTAGCCAAGGCAGGGAGAGGGAGAGGGGAGGGGACGGGGAGGGGAGGGGAGAAGCAGAAAGGATGCCCTGCACCTGACTCACGGGTGCTCAGCCCTGTCCAGGAATCTGGAGGATTCTGCTGTATACCAAGCCCCAGGGCTGCTGGGCAGGGCAGCTCCTTCCGAGAAGGCTCCAGAATCCCACCGTCTCCACCGCGCCCTTCCTAGCCAACCTCTGGGTTCACTCTGCACACGTGCCCAGGCCTGTCTGCCCTCCCAGACCGCCCTGAGGGCCCCCAGCAGCCCTGCTCCTGAACCGGTTCCAGGCCGCCAACCCCAGTCCCTGGCTGGGTGTCCAGGATCGCACGAAAGAACAGTTCCTGGAGGGAAGCGTCGGTGCGGGGCGGTAACGATGCTGAGGGTGAGAGGTGACGGGGGTGGGAGTGACAGGCTGATGGTGGCGCTGACACGCCACCACCACCGCCATCACTCGCCCACGAGCCTTTCAAGGAAACCCTGAGGCCATCGTCTTGTCCAGCGCTCAGCTGATCCTCGTTTTCTTGATGAGATGGAGGCCCAGCGCCCCGACCGCGCGGAGGCGGTGACCCCGCCCCGCTCACCTGCACAGGTATTCCAGGGCCAGCGCGGCCCCCGAGCGCTTGCTCGCCGGGCTTGAAGCCACAGCGATGCCTGCCTCCCGCAGCCGCCTCCGCGCCTCTTTCTTCCGCTCCTTCTTCAGCTTCCTCTCCAGGACCCTCTGCTCCTCCGGGGACACGGATGCGGACGCAGACCCCTGGAAGCGCAGGAACCTCCGTGAGGGCGTCGGGAGGGGGCAGCACAGGAACTGGGACCCCCGGCCTGTGCCGGCCCCTCTGCCCGGGACCTGGGTTGGGGGGCTGCGAGGACCGCCCCCCAAGCCTGAGGGCAGCAGGAGGGGCGGAGGTGCCAGGGCTGTGATGCAACCCGCCTCGCCCCGCCCCGCCCCGCCCCCAGGAAGCCTAACTAGAGTGGAGGCCAGCGGCTCCCGGACCTTCCCGGAAGCCGGACGAGGCGAATTCAGAAGGGCGCTGGCCGGGAGCACTGGGCGCTGCCCCCGCACGCCCCGTGTGCAGAGCCTGCACCCCGGAGAGTGAGGTACAGTGGGACCCCTGGCAGGCAGGTTCCTCCTAGATGCCAACCCCTGACGCCCTTTGTGCTCCCACGCCACACCCACTCCTCCCGGAATCTTCTAAAACAAGAGAGATGCTCTCCCCACTGCTTCAGCCTTCTCCTGAAACCAGCTGGGGTTTACCGCCTTGTGGAGCTTCAGGGCTGCACCCGGAGACACCTGGCAGCCCTGACGTGAGACACACGGCCCACCCGCACAGGAGGCGCCTTCCCTGAGGTGGGACACACACCCCCCGCACGCAAGCAGCCCCGCGGGGCCGGGGTGGGGCAGGGCCCAGAACAGCCGGGAGGGCAGGATGGCAGGGCCCGGACCAGACGGCTCCCCCAGGGCGTGTGCAGGTTTTAAAGTCACACCCATGCCTAAAACACCAACTCCAGTCACAGCCAGACTCCTGCTGACAGGGAATAAAGTCAGATTTTGAAAGCAGCATATTCTTCCCTGTAGTGACACTGGCTCGAAACACGACGTGAGCTCCTACTTCCGAGGACCTCATGGCTGGCGTGCATGTGTGCCTCCGTGCTAAGTTGCTCCAGTCGTGTCTGTCTCTTTGCAACCCTATGACCTGTATGCGGCCAGGCTCCTCTGTCCATGGGATTCTCTGGGCAAGAGTAATGGAGTGGGTTGCCACACCCTCCTCCAGATCTTCCCAAACCAGAGGCTGAACCCGGTCTTGCGCTGGCAGGTTGGTTCTTTACCACTATCGCTGCCTGGGAAGCGCTCACCACCAGCCCTTCGGCTTCCACCTGTCCTGCAGTTGAGCCTCTTACTGCCCCACCCTGCCCCTGCCTCCCGGCTCTGTAACCACCACCCTGTCTTCTGCACCCTCCTGTTTGCCTCCTTGTGCCGCAGACGCCATGTGTGTGAAATCACAGTGACTTATTCCAGCACAACGCACTCCAGGTCTGTTTATGCTGTCACAGATCCCAAGCTCAGCAGGCTGGGGTCTAGGAGACCCCCCCAACCCTCACCCCCGGCTCATGAAGGAGCCACGCTGGACACAGGGAGCCCGGCCCCTCTGAGTCACGTAGGGGGCATCGCACTGGCCACCGAGCCCCAAGTCCCGGGGAAGGTCCTGGGAATGGGCCAACACTGACCCCCGAGGGAGGCCAGCAGGTTGGACAGGTCAGGGAAGGGACAGGAGGGGGTCTCCTAGGACATAGGGGTCCCAGCCACCCGTCTGATCTCACGGGGTGCTGGCTGCTGCCCCCAGGCCAGAGGAGAGGCCATCAGAGACCTGGCAAGGGTGGAGCTGGGTGCCCACCCCGAGGGCTCGTGGGGGGCCCCATGGGCCCCCGGCCCAAGGTGCCGCTGTCCCCATGGAGGGGATGCGGGAAGGGGGCTGCCAGGGGGGCTGCCCCCCACTGCAGAAGGGCAGCAGGAATGTGAGCCAGGGTGGGTCTGGGAGGGCGGGACACAGACCCAGGCACTCCCTGGAGGCCGCGGGCCGTGGGCGGACCTGAAGGGTCCAACTACCTCTCCATCAGGACACACGGACGGCTGGCGCCCTGCCCACACTCAGGTGACCAAGGGTCTCCGGTTACAAAGAGGCCTCTTTCAGCCACTCTTCCCTTCTCTCCACCTCGGGGAGCAGAGTCTTCAGCCACGAAAGGAGGCTGGCGGGCCCAGCACAGACCTGGGAGGGCACAGAGGGGTCTGCTAGCCAGGTCAGTGTCCCTTCTCTGGGGCCTCCCTGCACCCTGGCCCCGTGCCAGCCTCTCAGGTGAGGCTCTCTCGCTCCATGTGCATGTGGAGATAGCCAGTCAGTGCGGCCCCCCGGGCTCTCAGGCCCCACCGCGTGGGGCGAGCGATGGAGTGAGGCCCCGGGCTCTCAGGCCCCACCGCGTGGGGCGAGCGATGGAGTGAGGCCCCGGGCTCTCAGGCCCCACCGCGTGGGGCGAGCGATGGAGTGAGGCCCCGGGCTCTCAGGCCCCACCGCGTGGGGCGAGCGATGGAGTGAGGCCCCGGGCTCTCAGGCCCCACCGCGTGGGGCGAGCGATGGAGTGAGGCCCCGGGCTCTCAGGCCCCACCGCGTGGGGTGAGCGATGGAGTGAGGTCCAGGGTTGAGGCCTGGACCACCTCAGCCTCCCAGACCTCACACGTGGGCTCCCAGTGGAGCCTGGAGCCCCTGTCGGCTCCCACCCAGAGGCCCTGATGCTTGGGAAGGGCGCAGAGAGTCTGCCTCTCTACCCTGAGGGTCCCAGGTCTGGGGAGGGGCCGAGAAAGGCTCAGCTGGGATGGCCCGAGTGGGGTCGTGCTGGGGGCCCTCGCCATCTGTGCTGACGGGCTACGCCACAGCTTTGGATCGGCACGGGCCTGGCAGGCTCTCCTCCCTCAGACCCCTGGGCCTGCCGGATCAGGAGGAGCAGAAGCGCTCAGAGACGGGCAAGTTCCAAGATCCCGAGCTAACCGGGGCCGCCTCTGGTCTCAGGCCATGCCCCGGGCCTCACTGCAGCCCGAGGGTGGGAATCTCTCCAGCAGCTCCCAGGAGCTGGGGGTCCCAGGGTGGGCTGACCCGGCGAGGGGAGGGCAGTGCCCATCACCCACATGGGCCCCAGAAGCCTCCTGCTGTAAAGAGCATCCACCGCAGCCTAGGGGTCCAGCTCCCCTCCCCCACCATCACCTGCAGGTACCTGGACTTTGCTGGGCCAGCAAGGCATGCCCCCAAAGTGGGATTTTGGGGTGAAAGGGGCTGCTCCTGGCTGACCGCTTATATATAGGGGCAGGGGAGGCTGGGAATGGGGGTCAGCAAGCTGCAGGGCAGCACCCCCACCCACCAGCCCATAACCCACCTGCTCTGTCAGGGTGAAACCTCTCAACCAACCCCACACAATTAGTAGACTAGAAAGGTGTGTGTTAAAAATGCTTGTAACATATAAGCCTGAACCAGGTCTGAGCTGTAAGGTGTTCCCTCGCCCAGGTGTGAGGACTGGGGTCACAATCACAGTGACCCTGGTGTGTGTGTGTGTGTGTGTGTGGGCGGCAGAGTCCAGGCCTCTGCTTGGTTGTTGGCGCCTGTACAGGCTGGACAGCACCCCAAAGGGCACAACTCCTCTCCAGAACTGCTCAGAGGCCAGAGTGCTCAACCACAGGTCTCTGACCAACAACCGCCAAGGTCCAGAGCCCTGCCTCCTCTTGCAGAGCTCACGGCTGCAGGGCGGGTGCCTCCCCAGACCATGCAGCCCACTCTTCCAGTGTGAAGCCAGGTGTCCTGGGCAGGAAGCCCAGTCGCTACCTGCAGCTCCCAGGAGACGCTGCTCCACTGAGGACTAAGCTTTCACCAGACGCATTACTGCAATTATTCAAACTCAGAAGGGTGACGCACGCTGTGGAGGGAAGGGCAGCCCTGAAACCCCGTGGACGGAGGAGCCTGGTGGGCCACAGTCCGTGGAGACAGCTCAGCGACCAAGCACTACTTGCAGTAGCCAATTACTTTTTCCCTTAAGATAAACAACAAAAGAGAGAATGTTTCCTAGATACTTTAATAAAACTTTGCATTTTGAAATTAACTAGATGCAACCTGGGAAGCAACACAGATTCCATGAGCCCTCCGCCCAGCCTCCCTACACACACACACAGCAGAAACAGAGGAGACACTGAGATTTAAGTTACCCCTAAAAATACAAAATGCAGGTACAGACCGTTAGGTTCTTTAAGGGCTCATTCCAAGGCATGACACTGAGTGACCTTTGCTGACTCAGAAACAGCTGCTCGCCCTTTTGTTTGCAGCGCCCTGGTTAAAACAATTCCAAACTTAAGGAAGCACAGGACGCAGGGGGCTGTGAGCAACCTTGTGAGCGGCGGGGATGCAGGGCTGCCGTGGGTCCTGGCCCTGCAGAGGCGCTGGTGCTGGCGGGAAGCAGACGCGGGCTCTGGCCTCGAGGAGCGCACGGCCGGACCAAGTGAGCTCCTGGAGGACAGGGACAGCGGCTGCCCCTGCTGGGCGGCCCTTGGAGCCGCGCCGCCCTCGGAGCCGGGCCCTCCATCCGGACGCTGCAGAGCCTTCAGATGAGCGAACCAGGAGACCAGATCACAGCACGCAGCCTCGAGTCATCAACCCACCGGGCGCAGAAACATGATGGGACAGTGAGATGTCCCTGCACCCCCCGACCCCCGGGGCCACTCTCATCCACTGGCAACATGCACAGTGGAAGAGGGGCTAAAACCCAGTCAGCCACCGAACTGGTGAGACGGAGCCCGCATTTGGACCCCACCAGGCCCAGCCCGTCTCTGGCTCTGACACCACATAGGGCCCCGGGCTCTCCCCAGGAAGGGCGTCCCTTTCCCAAGGCCACCTCCACCCTTCCAGTCCCTTCTTCGTGGGGCCTGGACAGTAAGACGAACATATCAGATCCTCTTTACACACATACACACACGAATCCTATGTGAGACCAGCCCCTCAGGCACAGAGGAAGAGGAGAGGGTTTCCGGGGTTGTGGGGGTGTCTCACCATAGCCACAGGCTGACGGCCCTCCCAGACAATCCAGGGCTCCGGGGAGGGTCTTTCACAGTAATCTCTTCAAACCCTGCGGCCTTGGCTGCAAGCAGGACCTGCCCTCCACCTGGGTGGGAGACACTGGCCCTTCTCAGAGACCAGCTTCGGAACCAAGGCTGAGCCTGGAGGCACT